ATTTTTGGACCTTGTCTAGAAGAGAAAGAGCATCATTAGAAGAACCAGCCAAAATATAACAACAGTATTCGATACAGGGACGAATAAAAGATTTGTAGAGGTAGAGAATGGAATCTGTTGAAAAAAAATGGTGAGCATAAAGAGAAGCAGATGCTAATATATAATCAATTGTATATATGGTCAGTAGTAAATGATAACTCAAGAAGATGTAAAGAAGAGGATTTAGTGAGAGGGTAGCCATTCCTTGACATAGGAATGTTGATAGTACTGCAATAGTTGTTTGCAGTTATAAACTGAGTTTTGTTGGAGTTAAAATTTACAAGCCACTTTAAGACCCAATCTGTTACATAAGTGAGATCAGATTTAAGATTGGCTGTCTGTTCTAAGCAATCAAAAAAAAAAGATTTTGTGTCAAAACAGGAGTATAAAGTTGAGTCATCAGCAAAAAGAGCTACTTTAGGTGTAAGGTTGTTGAGAAGATCATTAATGTAGATAAGAAACAAAATAGGACCAAGGATAAACCTTGAGGTACCCCTAAAGTTACTGGAAATAAAGAAAAGTGTTGGCCTTAGAGGATGACTTAAATAAAGTGGTTAGAAAAAAACAATTTGACAATCTCAAAATTTTTCACAGATACACCACATGAAACAAGCTTGTAAAGAAGACCAAGATGCCAAACTTTGTCAAAAGTCTTAAATATTTCAAGAGCAGTAGCCATAGCCTCTCTAATGCACAATAAAATCTTTCAGTCACAGCAGTTAGCAAGTCAGCTGTAGAGCGAGAGAATTGAAAACCATATTTATTATTTGACTGCAAGTTATTTGACTCAAGATAAGATTGGATGTGAGAAATTTGTTTATCAAAGACTTAAATACTTTAACAATAACAGAAAGAAGAAGAAAGATTGGACGATAATTGGAGGGGTCGAAATGGTCACTAGAGTTTTTGAAAATTTGAACAACAGATGCCATTTTCCAGCAGGCAGGAAAACAAGATTCAGTCAAGCACTTATTAAATAGTTTAGAGAAAATTGAAGATAGTTCTGAAGAACAATTTTGTAAGACTGTGACAGGAATGTTATCTGGACCACAAGTTGTAGAAGAGTTTAATTGAGATATGATTTTAACAATGGAAGCTGGAGTGATTTGAATGTCTAACAATGGGTTAACTTTTTTAATTGGAATGGAAGGAAGAGAATGGCCATAGGATTTATGAGTCGAATTAGAAGAGAAGTTCTTTGCAATTAGTTCAGCCTTATTCTTGGTAGAGGTAATAAGACAAGTCCCATGAATAAGAGATGAAATGTTAGACCTTCCAAGTCAAGCCTTGTAGCTAGACTTGGAACCAACAAGAAGGAATAAAAGCTTTCATTCCTGTCTGAATCCAGGAGGTTACATAAGAGGCACATTTTTCAGCTGAGAGGGAAAAAAAATCAGCCCAAGGACCGTCACAGAGAAAATTACAAAAAAAGTCCCAATCAGCTTTAGGGTAGTAGTAAGTAGTGGGATGATTGGGTGAGTTTGAAAATAAAGTATTATATAAAAGATTTGAAGAGATCGTTGCATGGTCAGAACCACTTAAGAGAGAAAAAGGAGAAACTAAATACAAGCTCGGATCAGAGACCAGACATAAATCAAGGATTGAAGTTAAATGTCGGTTGTCAGGAAAACAAGTCACAAAGTTGACTATCTGAGTAAGAGGTTGAGAAATGCTGAAGTTAAAGGCTTTAGTGCCTGCAGGGTCAGTGGTTTTAGAGCCAAGCCAGTGTGATGAGCATTAAAGTCACCAATAACAACAATATTGGCAGAGGTGTTAAAAAAGAGAGCATGGACAATTTGATCTAAAATTATATCTAAAAGAGTGCAGTCTTGGGAAAAAGGACAAAGGGATAAAGAACAAAGATAAAGGTAATACCAGGTATACCGGTATGAAATGAGCGTTTTTTGTGAAAATAAAACACTAATTATTAATGGGAAAGTATAAAACATTTTATTCAAAGTATTGGCCATTGTTTTCTACACATTTTGACCACCTTTCTGGCAATTTGTGGATACCACGCCAATAAAATTGTTTGTTTTTTAAAGTAAACCAACCAGACACCCAATTTTTGACCTCCTCGTAGGAATCAAAGTGCTGCTCAGCCAATGCATGTCCCATCGATGAAAACAAATGATAGTCGGAAGGAGCC